GAAAGTTAGGGAGGCATATGCGCAGGATCCTATCTATAGCGACCTTCTTAAGAAAGTAAAGGAGGCCCCAGAGACTGAACCACATTACCGCACTTATTTGAGAAGACTGATGTACTAGACCACTTGTGCGTCCCCAAGAATGAAGAAATTCGTAGCCTGATCTTAGGGGAATGTCACGATACAGAGGGACACTTCGGTTGGCAAAAGACTCCAGCCAATCTGATGCGCGCGTATACTTGGCCAGGGATGAAGGCCGACTGCATAGAGTACATCCGCAGTTGTAAGGTCTGCCAAAGGAATAAGACTACTACGCGTGCCCCTCTAGGTCTTCTCAGACCCTTGCCTATTCCTGACCGGCCAGGAGATTCAGTATCCATTGACTTTATGGATGCTGGCGTCAAGAGTAGGCACGGTAAGAGCCAAGTCATGGTCGTAGTTGATAGATTTAGCAAGTATGCAGTTTTTGTTCCGTTGCCTGCGGAAGCACGTACAGAGTTAGTAGTTCAGAAGTTCTTTGATCATTGGGATAGTGAACATTGGATTCCGCTGTCTATAGTTAGCGATAGAGACACCCGGTTCGCTAGTCAGAACTGGCAGGAGTTGATGAGAGTATATGGCTCCAGGCTGTTGATGTCATCTAGCCGTCATCCAGAGACAAACGGTCAGACTGAGCAAATGAATAGACTCCTACAGCAAGTTCTGAGAATGTACATTAGACCTGATCAGACTAACTGGGATGAGATACTCCCAAAGGTAGCCAGTGCCTACAATAACAGCGTGCACCTGTCCACGTGTCGCACTCCCAACGAATTACACAAGTCCTTCAGACCACGCAGACCGTTTGAGGGACTTAACCGGGGTCAGATTCATAGGCTACTGTTGGGTACGAGGGAGTTTGCGTTACAGCACGAGAAGGAGTTAGCTACCGTTGTAGAGAACCTCAGGAAGGCCCAGCATAGGATGATAGAGCAAGCCAATAAGCATCGTCGCCCGTCACACTTTCAAGTAGGCGACTTATTCTGGGTCAAATCTAAGGAGTTTGCTCCTGAGGAGAATATCTCGCAGAAGCTATTGCCCGCGTATAGAGGACCGTGACCAGTTCTAGAAGCTAAGGGCGAAGAGGATGGGCCGTCCTATACAGTAGAGATTCCAGCGCACCTCCACACCTACCCCGTATTTCACGCATAAAAGTTATTGCCGTGTGTCACAAGTCAACAGTTTCCCTCCAGAAGGTCCATGATCCCTCCGGATATGGATGGAAGATACGACATTGACGGCATTGTAGGTGAAGATATATTCAGGACAGGAGGTAGAGGTCGTCCTCAGAAAGAGTACAAGGTTCGATTCGCATATCAGGAACTGGAAGACGACCGCTGGTTTACCAGAACTGAACTTCTAGAAACAGCTCCCGACATAGTCAGGGCCTACGAAAGAGATAGGAAAGGTAAATGTCCTGCCTTGGACTGAGACATTCTCGAAGGACCTCGAATTTAGGCCGGCGGAAACAGTTTTCACCTTTGCAGAGGCAGATGCAGATCCCGGGGTTTGATCCCCAGACCTTACCTCACCCATGTACAGTATCGAGTTGACCCTTGAGTGTTTGAACCTGTGACCTGTGTTTTGTGAGTTGTCTCTCTGTCGTAGGACTGTGTGGACATAGGGATTCGATCTGTAGACCTGTCGAGTAGAGGTCTTAGAGAGTTCCAGAAGTCGTAGCTGTAGATGTCCTGAAGTGTCAAAGTCGTAGCTGCCACAGTCCTGAGAGGTCAAGATCGTAGCTGCTACAGTCCCGAAGGGCCAAGTCCACAGACTTCCGGAAGGTCCGGAAGTGGCCTATCGTAGCTTGCTCACGTTTTAGACTGAGGCAAGTGGGCAAGTGGTGGACCAACTGCAGTACGTTCGCAGTACGATAGCGGTAGGTTAGCAGTGCGTCCCCATGCAGTCAGTGGTACGGTCCAGTCAGTCCCAGTCCAGTCCAGCAAGTACCATGGGGGACTGTGTGTACCAAGGGCCGATGGAAAGGGGCAGACCAACGAGTTACAGAAGTATAAATCAAGATGCAGCGCACAGCCATTCATTCATTCCTGCGGAAGCCATGCGGAAGCGCTGCCACGGTGACGTGTGCGAGGTGGTCTGCAGAGGAGCCTGAAGTCGAAGTGGGCTAGAGGGAGTTAGCGCAGCCATAGCTGCTTGTGGAGTAGAGTTAGCTGGCGGCCATAGCTGCTGTAGTTAGTAGTAGGTGTGCATTCGTGTGTGTGCAGAGTGTGCGCGTGGGGTATCCAGGGTGATCCGGAGTTGAAGTGTGAAGTGAACAGTGTTGTTGGACACAGTGACAAGAGTTGCGATGTGTGGGTGCTGATGCACCATAGCCTGTTGAAGCGAGCTTGCATCTGAACTGTGTCTTGGTTTCCATATCTTCGAGCTTTGAGTTGGGCGCTAGGCGCCAGTGTGATTCACCATCTGTTTGTATGCATGTGAAGTGACGAAGTATGCGAGTCTGATTGCAATATATAGTCTGGATTCGAATTCAGGTCTGTGCATGTCGGTTATGGGTCACCATTTCTCTGTTTTCTCGCTTTTCTTTTCTTTTCTCGTTTTTCTTTTGTTACGAATACGTGCAGTGGCCCTAAGGGCCTCTACTCACCAAATGCACAAAAGACAAAACATATGGTGGCGCATTATTCCACGTTCTGCAGAAGATTCATTCTAATTTTGCACATTTCATGAGTACTGCAGCCAAGCCCTAAGAGTCACGTGCAGAGACCAACAGGCCCTAGCTACATGAGCAACCCATAACTGCTGAAACACAGACCAGAATTCGAATCTTGACTATATATTCGGCCAGCTCGTGCTGTATTTCATATTCACTGCCTGCCTCGATTTTGGTGGGGGGGTCTGGGCTACATGTCTGTGAGGACCCTTCAGATAGCCTGCATGGGCCGTCTGAGCCGTGTTAAGGGGATCATTCTCTCTCTCTCTCTCTCTCTCTCTCTCTCTCTCTCTCTCTCTCTCTCTCTCTCTCTCTCTC